AGAGAAAGCATGGCACAGAGTAACCTTCCTTGACCCTAAGGCCCAAACAGGAAAAGGCATTCTGGAGGACCATCTCCATTAGTATCCCAACCAACCGGTCACTAAAACAGACTCTCCTTTACCAGTGTAAAAGTTCAACCACAGCACCCGAGGCAGGCCTGGTTCATTGCTCCTGCTGTCAAACTACAGTGGTGCCTCCGGTTACAGAAGCTTCAGGTTACAGACGCTTCAGGTTACAGACTCCGCCAACCCAGAAATAGTACCTCAGATTAAGAACTTTGCTTCAGGATGAGAACAGAAATTGCATGGCGGTGGTGCAGCGGCAGTGGGAGGGCCCATTAGTTAAAGTGGTACCTCAGGTTAAGAACAGGTTTCAGGTTAAGAACGGACCTCCAGAACGAATTAAGTACCACTGTACTTCCCTGAAAATAACTGCAAAGCAACAGTAACCATATGTTAGTCCATCTGCATCTCTGTAAGGTCCTTACAGAGTGTCATATCGTGTCGGTTTCATAAAGCTGCACAGAATAAATTACGGATGTGGAGACCACGTCTTCAATATCACCTCCACATCTCTGAAAAAGTTATTAGTGGGGTTGTCACCTCTGTCTCAGAAGGACCCAGTTAGGACACACAGCTGGGGGCCAGGGGAGAGCCAAGGCTGCACCTGGCAGCTCTCCATCCATATCTGCAGAGGCCTGCCTCAAACTCACTTGAAACAAATTATTGGGAAATAGTAGAAAACTGCAGGTTGGTGTTTGACTCAAAAAATAGGTTTAGTCCCTTATGAAAGCTACTGCAGCGTGCGTGGGCGCTCTTAGGTTTAAATAATTGAGAACTTCCACATTCCATAATAGGACTCTTTTGGTGGGTCAGCAGATAACTCCTTAATTGCTTATGGATCAACAGTTCACCTACGGAGCCCAAAGGATCGTCTCTGGTAGTTTTTGCTGATAGTTATCAATAATGAATAATAAAGGGGCATTAAAAAACAAACCAATTATGGAACAATCTGCTTGTAAGTAGCTTCCGGAAGAGATTTTTTAAAAAATTAATCGGCCATCTGCCCTGCTACATAATGACCATTACCTGACCTATTTGAAAAGAAAGCCAAAATATTTCTAGATGACCATGTGACACATCATGTAGCCAGATACCATCATGCACCGCTCAGCATTAGGGATGCAAGGAGGCATAGTTTTCCTTTCTTCCCTGTGTTCGTCACATGCAGCAGTGTTTCCGTTCTGCTGCAGTTTGTCTTCTGTCAAAAACTATGTTACACCTCTCACTGCGATGAAATCTTATAACTTACATAAGTTATGTTGCCATTACATTATTCCACCCCATTCATTTCAGTGCAAAGGAAATGCAATGCAGATCGTTTGCAGAGTGACACCAACAACAGTCAATGCCAATCATAGTCACTGGACAGGAGATGAATAAATGAACACTGGCAATTTCTGCTTTCATTTCTGTTTTCATAAGAATTCTCCTTACTCGGCATAAACTAGACAGGGAGCTGCTTCCAATCTGGGCTCAGTAGTGAGTGCACTTGTATCATGAAACATGTAATTGTGAACATGCTTATATTAGATTATAGCTAAGTTTGTGTCCGAGCCTGTATCTAATTGTGTTTTATTAATTTGATGTATTTATATCCTGTCTTTTATAATAAAGTCTTCACAAGGTGTCATACAGTGATTAACAAATTAAGCGAAGTATTAATTCTTATTAATAAGTTGAACAATTAAGTATTGATTTATAAAGCACTCCAAAGCAAGTATACTTTTTAAAAAAGTACATTTAAAAGCATATTGGATCAATTGGATGCACAACCAAAAGCAGTGAGTGACATAACAACAACAACAACATCCTGCCCATCTGACTGGGTTGCCCAGATACTGGGTGGCTTCCAGCATATATAAAAACGTAATAAAAGTAATGTCTTAACATAAAAACTTCCCTCTACAGGGTTGCATTCAGATGTTATTATTATGTCTTTAAAAAGCTTTATAGTTACTTGTCTCCTTGGCTTGGGGGTCGCATAACTCCACACCCTCCAACATTTCTCTGATGAAAATAGGGACATCCTAAGGAAAAGTAGGGCATTCTGAGATCAAATAAGAAACTGGGACGGTTTCTGTAAATCCGTGACTGTCCCTGGAAAATAAGGACACTTGGAGTGTTGGGGGTGGGGGTTTAGTGAACTTTGGTTGCTTGCTGCCTTGTATTGTCTTTGGATTATTAAGAATAATTTTAGAGAATCTAATTTCTTTCATTAAAGCATTTGCATTCTGCATTGAAGCTTTTCAAGCAACCAAGGCAGCTTATCAAGTAATAAAAACAAACAATAAAAAAATCAATCACTGAAAAGAAAAAGCAGATAAGGGAAGCACAAAAGGGAGTAATAAGTAAGCAATAAGCAATCATCCGCTAAATGCATGGGCAAATAAGACAGTTTTAATCTGGCGCCTGAAGGATATAGAATGTTTGTGCCAGGCAACTGTGGGGACTCTGACCGCAGCCCTCTTGTAGCCCCCCCCCCCGGTCCCCAGCTGTTCAGGACTTTACAAGTTACAAAACCAACCCTTTGAATCACACCTGGACACAAGCTAAGAGCCAGCGAATATATTTTAGCACCCGTAAAATGGGTGCAGTGTAGTAGATCCCTGTTAGCAACCTGGTCACTGGAATCTGAGCCTACCAAAGTTTCCAAATGTTCTTCAAAGGGAAGTCCATGTGCAAACACCACAGCAATAATTCTTGCGTGTTATCAAAGTATGGAAAGTTGTGAGAAGGCTCTCTCGAAGATGAGGTGCAGCTGGCAAAGCAGTTGAAGAATGGGACTATGTGCCACAGATGCCATTTGTCACACAAAGCCATTATCACTCGCTGTTGACTTAAATAGGATTTGCCAAGCCCTACTCATCAGCACTATTTCCATCTTGTCTGGGTTTAGCTTGTTAGCCAACCTATTGTTTCAAGTGAAGGCATCTGTTCAGGACATCCACTGCTACATCTAATTTATAAGAAAAGCAGAGCTGGGTGTCACTGATATGCCAACAACACCTAGCTCCATAGCCACAGATGCCACTGCACAAAGCCAAAGTCCTCCACCTCCACTTTATGAGACCTGTGTGTTATATAGGAGTGGAACAACAGAAGCATAGTACAGTGGTACCTCGGGTTACATACACTTCATGTTACATACGCTTCAGGTTACAGACTCCGCTAACCCAGAAATAGTACCTCGGGTTAAGAACTTTGCTTCAGGACGAGAACAGAAATTGTGCTCCGGCGGCTCAGCAGCAGCAGGAGGCCCCATTAGCTAAAGTGGTGCTTCAGGTTAAGAACAGCTTCAGGTTAAGAACAGACCTCCTGAACGAATTAAGAACTTAACCCGAGGTACCACTGTACAGTATATCTAATTCCCAATCCAAATTGTCCCAAATACTAGGACTGATGGTACTGAAAGTTGCTGAGAGGTTCAGAAGAATCAACATCACACTTTCTCCTGATGTAGGTCATCTACCAGGGCAGTCTGCTACCTCATGTCACCCAGAAACATCTGGAACTTAACCACCAGCAGTGGTTAAGACTTTAGCAAGGGAGGAAGAGGTTAATTAGCAGATTCCCCTCTCCAGTCAATGCAATTTGCCTTTTAAAAAACAACACAGAAAACCTGCATGTTAAAGATGCATGTCAGGTGCAGTTTGGAATGAATGTCGAGTTCTATGTTCCACTAAGTGCTTAGCAAATAAGTCACAATGAACTATCTGTAACCTGTTGGCGTTCACACTGGGGACTAACACTCTACAGACCCTTTGCTACCTAAACAGTTCCACTGGACTGCAGTGTGTGGATGCAATAGTGGTGGAGAGACTTCTTTCTTTGCAACTATCACCACCAAGTATGATCTAAAGTGAGATCTAGCCTGTGTTTGATCACATTTAGAATGTGTCTTTTGTTAGGATATTTCCATTCCACCTTAAAAGGGAGCAGGCTTTGTGAGTCACAGAGTCTGCGCATTTCCTGTTCACAGGAAGTTTATGTTTTCTATTGCTTTCGTTTCTCTCTGTGTCAGAGACACTGAAGCAGGCAGTCATGTTTTTCTTTGTTCTGATCAACGCTGAATAAAACTTGTAAATAATGCTCTCCTGAGTGCGACTTCTGCTGTGCATTATCTGCTGATAGAGAGTGTGCATCGGCTCTAGAATGTGGCAGGCTATTTCTGGAGCTCATGTCGCTAATTGCTGATACTGCGTGTCTATGGGAGATCGATGGATCGTCCGGCAGCCGGCTTGGGGGCCATGATGGACTTCATCTCCCTGGCAGTATCCCAACAACAGGTTTCGGGCCCAGGTTCACGGCACTTACAGGAGAGTAAGACTGCGACGGACTGCTGAGAGGTATGTGGAGGAAAAGCGAAAGTGAGGCTTTTCGTTGCCGCGGCAGAGTCTCTTTGATGTCCGGCTGGCCTAATTGGTCTGGAAGCTGCGCCAAGCAAGCTTCGTGATTTATGGCTGCCGAGATAAGGAGCCTATGAAGTGAATAGGGCTCACGGCTCAAGTGAAAAGCTGGAATGGAGTTTTTCCACGCTTCTGAAGCTGCTGAGTGCCCAAAGTTAAATCAGCACAATTATGAGACCTGGGCTGTGTGGTGTGAGAGTTTGCTGCGTCAGTTTGGAGTGTGGCATACTGTGTCTGAAGCCCCTCCAGTTCCTTTGACAGATAGATGGAGAGCCCAGAATTCGAGGGCCATAGACGTAATAGTCTTGTCCGTCTCTCTGGAGGACATTAAAACGCTTGCTGGCAACACCACTGCACGTCAGATGTGGAATGCTTTGAAAATAGCCCATCTGCCAGTCATCCCAGCCCAGAGTTTGACTGCATCAGAGGTCCTGGCTGTTTCCCAGAGTATGGGTGAATGCAGGGATGCCGAGGGCACCGTTTGCAAGCTGCAGGGGGAGCTGACTGTGATGTCATCCCAGGCAGCATTCCAGCCTCCAGGGAGAGCCAAGGAGTCGGCAGCTGAGAACTCTGTTTCTCGTGAGAACCAAGGTCATCGCCTTTGCAGAGGCCAGAAGGCCAGAGGTAAACAGAGCAAGATGCCTGCAGATGGCCCGAAGCAGAAGGGGGGTGAAGAGCCCACGCCAGTGGAAAACAAGGCTTTGTTTGCTGGCATAGCTTCACCAAAGGCTAAAGGCAAGTTTGATGGCCAGGAGCAGGGGGGCAAGCAGCAAAAGCCCACGCCGGTGGAAAACAAGGTTTTGCTTGCTGGAAAAGCTGCTCCAAAGGCCAAGGCCAGGTTTGTTATTGATTCTGGATGCACCCGCCATGTGACAAAAGACCGGCATCTCTTTATCTCCTTCAAACCTCAAGAAGGTGAGATCCACCTGGCTGACGGAAAGATGTTACGAATTGCAGGAGAAGGGACTGTGAGACTGGCAAGTCTGTACACGACCATCAAAGATGTACTGTATGTTCCAGGTGCTGCAGACAATTTGCTCAGTGTCCCACAGCTTACTGGGCGTGGCTTTGAGATTTCCTTCAAGAGGAGCGTCTGTGTCATCAGGAAAGGCAAAGAGGACATTTTGCATGCAAAGTTTATAGATGGATTGTTCTGTATAACTTATGATGACAATGGTGCTGTTGTGTCTAATGTTGATTCTTGTTGTGTTGCACAGACTAACAAAGTTCTTCATGCAGGATGCATTCATGATGCACACAGAAGATTTTGTCACATGTCTTGGAAGGCGCTGGCCAAGATGCCTAAGTTGGTTGAGGGTTTGAACATCAAACGCTGTAAGTTTCGCATGAAATGTGTATCTTGTGCAGAGAACAAGGTGAAGGTTGCTCCAAAAGGCAAGGAGTCTAGCAGGCAGGCTTCCAAACCCTACCAGCTAGTCCACGCAGACCTGGTTGGTCCGCTTGCGCCCTCTTTGGGTGGAGCAAGGTACTTCATGGTTCTAATTGATTCTTTTTCCAGGTACATTCATGTGTTTATGCTCGAGCAGAAATCGCAAGCGTTTCCTAGGTTCAAGGCATTCTGTGCTTGGTTGGAGAATGTTCACGGTAAACGTATTGGCTGTCTCTTTACTGATCGGGGCGGGGAGTTCACTTCTCAGCAGTTTGAAGCTTTTCTGACTGAGAAGGGAATCCAGCATGACTTGTCAACGCCTAGATCACCATGGATGAATGGACTTGCGGAGCGAGCAAATCAAACGTTGCTGCAAGGAATGAAAACATTGTTGCATGATGCCAATCTCCCTGATAAGTATTGGGGGGAGGCTCTGTCGACCTTTGTTTACACTTTTAACAGGAGATTGTCATCACCTATTGGTTGTACCCCCTATGAGAAGATGTTTGGTAAGAAACCCAACATCAAGCACATGAGAATCTTTGGTTCTGACATGTGGGTACACCCCCCACAGAGCAACAAGCTTGGGAAGCGTGGGACACATGGTTTGTTCATGGGGTACGAAAAAGGAGCATACAGGGTATGGATGACTGACTCTAAGTCCATTAAGTTCACAAAGAGTGTTGAGTACAATCCTAAGTGGGGGGGAAATGTGGGAATTTTCCAGAGTTACCCAGAGGAGGATGAAGGTGATGTGAAGAAAGCAGATAATGTTGAGGAAGCTGAGGAAGCTGAGGATGATGAGCAGAGTTCGGATTCCAGCTCAGTGGGCGGCGCTGCTGCTGGTGTCAGTGACAGTGATGACACAGCAGACTACAAGAGCGCAAAGGCCTCAGTCAGACCATCTGATGCATCTGACAATGAACTGGAAGAACCACTGTTCACCATTGGTCACTTTTCTCCTAAGAAGGAGGAGATGAGTCCAGAAGACTTGCGTCTAGTACACAGATCTGAAAGAGCCACAAAGGGCAGACCTCCAAAGAGATTTGCTGATGAGTTTGCTAAGACAGCAACTGCTGTTCTTAGTAGCTCAGAGGTGTGGGAACCTTCAAGCTTCAAAGAGGTTCAGGAGTTAACCTCTAAAGATGCTGAGCCTTGGCTAAATGCCATGAAGGCTGAAGTTGATTCCTTGAAAAGGAACCAAACTTGGGAACTGGTACCGGTAGTCCCAGGAATGAGACTGGTTGGCAGCAAATGGGTCTTCAAGGCCAAGACAGACCAGAATGGCAAGGTTGTTAGACACAAAGCCAGATTGGTTGCCAGAGGTTTTTCACAGGTACCAGGACAGGATTACCACGAGACCTACTCTCCCACCGTCAAATATGAGAGCATTCGGCTGATGCTCAAGATAGCTGCAGAGGAGAAATTGCATGTTTCCCATCATGACATTAATACAGCTTTTTTGTATGGGATTTTGGACGAGGAGCTGTTTATGCTTCCACCTGATGGGATGCAGATACAGAAGGGGATGGTCTGTAAACTGCGGAAATCCTTATATGGTCTCAAGCAGAGTGCCAGGTGTTGGAACACAAAACTCACTGAGACATTGCTTTCTCTAGGTTTTCACCAGGGCAAAGCTGATCCATGTGTGTTTGTCAGGGAGGAGGGGCAAAACAAACTGTATTGTTTATGTTTTGTTGATGATCTTCTGATGTTTTGGAAGAATCAGGCTTTGTACCAAAGCACCCTAGCTCAGCTGAAGGAGCACTTTGACATGAAGGATCTTGGTGAGGTATCCAACTATCTTTCTCTGCAGGTGGAGAGGGACCAAGCAGGTAATTTTCTGGTACATCAAACACAGAAAATTGCTGATGTATTAACCAGGTTGAATTTGGTTGATGCAAACCCAGCAGACACACCGATGGTGACAGGTTACCAGGTAGATAGTACTGCTGAAGCGTTTTCTGACACAACGCTGTACAGATGCATTCTAGGCAAGTTGAATTTCATTGCTAGATGCTCAAGACCTGACATTGCTGTAAGCACTAACCTGCTTAGCAGACATGCTAACAATCCTACTGTTCAGGATTGGAAAGCTCTGAAGCGCATAGCCCGCTATTTAAAAGGGACTTTGCACTACAGGCTGAGGTTCACCAGTCAGAAGACTGGAGGTCTTGAAATCTTTGCAGATGCAAGTTTTGGAAGTGACACCATGGATGGTACAAGCACTTCTGGAGTATGCTACATGTACAACCACTGTTTGTTTGACTGGCTGTGCAGGAAGCAGACGACAGTGAGCCTAAGTTCCTGTGAAGCAGAACTCAATGCTCTGTCATTTTCACTCATGGATTGTGAATGGTTGATGCGACTGTTTAAGGACATCAGAGTTTCTGTGAAATGTCCTATACAAGTGTATCAAGACAATAGATCCTGTTTGGCTTTGCTGAACTCAGAGAGTTGCAAGCAAAGAACCAAGTACTTGCAGATTAAGCTACATCGTGCAAGAGAGTGTATTGAGAAAGGACTCATTCAGGTGTCCTACATGGCAGGAAATGAAATTCCTGCTGATCTGTTGTCTAAGGTTGTTAACAGAGAACAACTTAAGGTTTATGTACAGAGGTTGCAATTGGGTTGAACCACAGGTACTACAGGTTACACGGAAAGGGGGAGGATGTTAGGATATTTCCGTTCCACCTTAAAAGGGAGCAGGCTTTGTGAGTCACAGAGTCTGCGCATTTCCTGTTCACAGGAAGTTTATGTTTTCTATTGCTTTTGTTTCTCTCTGTGTCAGAGACACTGAAGCAGGCAGTCATGTTTTTCTTTGTTCTGATCAACGCTGAATAAAACTTGTAAATAATGCTCTCCTGAGTGCGACTTCTGCTGTGCATTATCTGCTGATAGAGAGTGTGCATCGGCTCTAGAATGTGGCAGGCTATTTCTGGAGCTCATGTCGCTAATTGCAGATACTGCATGTCTATGGGAGATCGGTGGATCGTCCAGCAGCCGGCTTGGGGGCCATGATGGACTTTATCTCCCTGGCAGTATCCCAACATCTTTCTCCACTTACATTCTACTAATTATCCCTGCTGCTATTACTCCAAGTTCCCTGGGGTACCAGAAAGCCATTCAAGGGTGTGTACTTAGAAGAGATCGCATCCATTATCTGGTTTATCTCATTTTTTCCACAGATCAACCAGGGCTTCAACAGGAACACATGCCGAATCAACTATAAACTCTCCCAAGGCTATGATGAAACAACCAACCTAACCTTTCCCCATCTCCAGAGGAATAGCGAACCTATGGAATAGTATCTGTTTAACAAAGTTGGCACACTGATGAACCTATTTCTTCACCAAGTTCTTAGACTGGTCTTTGTTGGCAAGTGTGATGGAAGCTTTATAGATAAAGGTTATCGCCGAAATCTTGCATCACAAGAAATTGTATTTTCGCAGCATGGCCTTGAGCAAGTGAGTGCCTGGTCCCTCTCCTGCACCACCAGGGCAGTTTCTGCATGTGCTGTAGAGGGAAGTGAGGGGCAGATGGAGCTTGTCAACCTGAGAAGGTAGCCAGTCTAGAAGGAAAACTCTTATCCTAAACCTTTGCTGCCTTGCGGGCTATCTTCAGGAGAAGAAAAGGCTAAGGCGTAAACCCTACACAAATCAGGAGTGGAGTCCCTAAAAGGGCTGGATGCCATCTTGCATGCCTCCTTCTGGCAACTCCTGCAGCCAAGCTGGTGCTGAACATATTGCTCTGCTTGTCTTTGGACTACGTCTGTGAAGCCAAGAGGGGGTCGTTGTCTGGGAAGCCCAGGATCTCCATACACACCACCACGACTTGCACCCTGGGGAGGTTACTGGTGCTGCTAGCACAGCGGTTTGACTTCACCCCTGGAGGCACACTCCATTGTCTCTCAAGGCAGATGAATGCCAACACATAGAGAAGTTGAGGCTTGAGGATCAATGCTTCCTGTGTCAAGTTATATAAACATAATTGAATACTAACACCATAGGTTGCCAGGAGAGACTAGACCTATCTCTCTGTTTTGGTTCCATTTTCAAACCTGTTGTGTGAGAGCTGCCTGCACTGTGCCATCACTAGATAGAACTGACATTTTGTGCATTTTTTGCTGAATGTAAAGGAAAGGAACTCCCAGAGTTGTAAGATAAACTTTATTTTGGATATTATAGTCTGAACCACATTTGTAAGATATTGCAATGTACATTACAGCAGCTCTCAATGCTCCTGCTTCCTCTGTTTGCCAAGAGACCTAAATTGTATTTTGAAGACGGATAACATTTTAGAGATTTCTATTGCCCTGAAGCTTTAACAAAGGCATGAGAGTTGCTGGTGTATTCAGTAGAGACAAATTACCATTGTTACTATGTTAAGTAGCAGGAAATAACATCACAACATTGAAAAGTCAACAGAGACTCAATACTGTGTCACTTCAGCCAGATACGGAAAATGGAATTTCAGTGGAATGTACTAGAAATAAAAGCAGTTGGGGCATGATCCAGTCCACTGCAGATCCAGCAAGCAGTTTTGCCCCTTCCCCCACTTACCCATGTAGGAGGAGAAAGGGACCACACTTCTCTACCACAATACAGCCTCCCTCCCTCCACAGAGCAAGTAGTTTATGTTCTGGAGCACAAGTAATTTATAGTGAAGTGACGGGGGAGCGGGGCTGAAAGAGGATGGTGAGACAGGTACGTGGACCTAAGAAGGCACCCACTTACTCTAACCAGGGAGAGCAAGAAAACAAAGCTCAAGCAAGGGTTGCCAGCATACCTGCAAGTACCTCCTATGGTTCCCATGGAAGGTCTCAGTAAATAATCCCCTTAAAAATCCAGTGCACAATTTTGCTCAATTGCTGCTTGCACTGAGACCCCCAGTCTAAAATCATGCCCACATTTCCATGGATGCCAGCACTGGACACCCTCCCTTACATTCTGAACAGAGAGAAGGTGCAAAGAGCTTCTCTCTTTGAATGCATAAGAGGCTGAGGTTTTTCTCCCCATTGATGGCAGGGCTGTGTGCACTGTTGTGGGCCACTCCCACACCATTTTGTGGCCCTGTCTCTTTTTCTGTTCTTTTAGATGTGGCAGCCATTATATATTCTGCCATGCCCCAAGGTAGCCATTTTGTGTAATTTAAACACCTCTGGAGCCGCCATTTTATGACTGGTGCTCACAGCAGTTTTTCAAAATTTCACAAGTATGCCCTGGCCTAAAAAGGTTGGTGACCCCTGCGCTACTGGGACCAATCCCACCGCACAAGGGTACTGGACCTATTGCGGACTGGGTTGTGGACTTGAAATCTTACAATAAGTATGCTTCTTAGCTGGATAAAATTGCTGAACTTTATTTTTGTAACTTGCTATGTTGTATAAGTAAGCCTGATTTGGCAACTGAACTAGAATAGAGAACAGTGTTGTGAAATGCAAATTGGCTTATGAGAAAGCATTTACAAATGAAGTTTAAGACTTCCCATGATTTTCCACTCAGGACTTGCTTACCCTAGGAATGTTGTAAAAACATTTGCACTGTTGCAAAAGCTTTCAGCTTATATGGATACTAAGCCTGTTCCAAGGTCTGGGTTCCCACAACACTTCAGGTGCCTGGATCCAATACATATTCTGTGCCAGTATTACACTGCCAAACCCAATATTTATTTATTTTTCTTGTTTTCTTTTTTTAAAAAAAACTAATAAACTTTTATTGTAACCCTTTCACATTCCTTGCCTTGTTTAAGAAGACATGCTTTCAAAGTTATTTGTACAGCTACAACCAGCTACAAACATTTTAAAAACGCTAGTCATACTTCATGTTACGTTTGCTTCAGGTTGCACGTTTTCAGGTTGTGTCCTGCAGCGACCCGGAAGTACCGGAAAGGGTTACTTCCAGGTTTCCCTGTGCACGCATGCTCAGACGCGCAAAATGACGTCACGCGCATGTGCAGAAGCGGGAAATCGCAAACCATGTGTGCGCAGATGTAGGTTGCGAATGGGCCTCCGGAACGGATCCCATTCGCAACCAAAGGTACCACTGTACAAGCAAATCCTTTTTTGCCTTCAGTAAAGAGCTGGAATAATAATAAACACCATTACTACTGCAGAATGGATTGGCAGGCCTTTCCAAATGATACCTCAATGTTTGAGACAAAATCTATCAGTAAATGTACATAGAAACAGAGCCTATGCTGGTGGGCAGTACAGAGACCCCTTCACTGGGCACAAATAAGTAACTCATACCTGGATGAGAAAAACATGAAATTCACAGAGGCATTGTCGTCACTGGTTGATGTGGTAGAACATTCACAGAAAGATGGATTGTGCCCTTGTTCCCCACCCACTCCCAAATATAGGGCAGGAAACTTTGGCAACCACAACATTGTCTATTTTTCTTGGGGAGTAGGAGAGAAACAAGATGCAATACTGACTGCATCTTTCACAGCCACCAAACAGTAACACAGGGAGGTTGTAGCAGTTAGCTTGCTACCTCTTCCAAAAATTTAAGCCAGCCAACAAGGAAGTGGTGACACAATGGGGGTGTGAATTATTAATGTGTGCCTAGAAATGGGCAACATTCCACTGCAGCACAAATGAACAGCAGTTTACACCACACAAATCTTTACATCTGGAATTATTACATTATGGATAAATGTCTGGTGCTACAGAATGTAGAGAAACACATGTGGAGGGATGCTTGGGAGCCACATATGGAAACAAATATTTGCTCTGCAGCTCAGGGGAGAGACTTCATTGCTCCGAGGAAACTCTGGTGGGTAAAATCTTAGTAAGCCTGCATGCAAATTCCTATGAAAGCCTAGAAGGCTCATATAATACCAGACAGGAAAGTTACTAAGATGAATACAGAAGCCCAGCCTAGCTCTGAGGTGTTAAATGTCTCATGAGTCACAACAAAGGGGCAGAAAGGGTTAAGTGCAGAGGATACAATTTAGCATCACTGTCAAGTTTTGTTTTGTATGTCTAAAGAAATGGACATGCGTACAAACATGGCCCTGAACACCACCAAAAAGTAGAGAATCCAGATTTGGAGGCAGAAGCCTGAAGCCAGAAATAGCATTTCATTTGCTAGTCTAGAGGCAATGGGTGCCTTCCTCTTAAAATAAAAAATATTGGAAGGCAATAGGTCCCTAGAATCTCCAAGCTGCCTGCTTTCTTTTCCTTGTGGGCACTGGAAAGAGAACCAGCACCCCTGCTCCTTTCACAGGCAGGCCAACATTGCATAGAACAGCGAGTGAAAGTGGCAGAGTTCTAGGCAGAAGGGGCTGAGCACTGGGAAGAGGCTTGCGGTGGTCAGTGCTTCCTCTTTGGCATGAAACAATGTCCAGTTTCCCTTCTCATGGAAATACAAGTCAGGAGCAATGCCAGATGTATGATGTTATGGCGGACAAAGTAACAGAAGGAGCAGCGTGAAGGTCAAAGTGAGCGAAGAAAGATGAGCTCCAGAGTAGACAGAGTTAGGAAACGATCTTCCGTCTTGCATGAGGACCTCTGGCTGCATCTTACTTTTCTCAGCTTCCTAGAAAGGCAGAGAGAGAGAGAGAGAGAACTCATGACTGGATACATCTGCTGTCCGTCACAACATCTCATTTGAATCCCTCCTTTCCACACCAGCACCATTTCCACTTGCATGGTGTCCCCTGCTCTGCTCAGAAGACCTGAGGACATCCCTGGGAACAAAGGTGCCAGCTTCTTTGCTCAACCTTCTCCCACAATAGAACACACTTAACTAAAGCAACCTTGTTATGCCAACCATTTGCTTTACAGGCGCATAACAACATACCTGACTCCACTTACGCTACAGATCAGGAATGGGAAACCTGTGGTCCTCCAGATGTTGCTGGACTGCAGCTGCATCGTCCCCTCATTACTGGATGGATGGGAGCTTGGAGACCAGCAACTTCTGTGGGGCCACAGGTTCCCCATATCCCTGCTACGGATTCAGAACAAGCTGGCTTTGTGTCAAACAGAAGGAACGGTTCGTACCCAACGCATTTCTGAAGTGAAAACTGTGCCATCTGTGCTGGTGGCATCTCCCTGGAAATTCAGGGAAGGTGTGAACTGCAGCTGCTCCTGAACCTCCATATTCCTCTGGTTTAAGATCATCTGAGACTGGATTGCACTTCCTGTAAAGCAGAGAACACGCAGGAGATTGTGTGAGGACCTGAATGCATGTATACAGAGTCAGGTTACACATTCTGGGTCCCGGAGGCTTTGAGCGCCAGGTGTAACTAACAGGATAAATTATTGTAAGACAGCCATGCATTGGTGCCTGGAAATGGCCTGAGAGGGAGCCAGCAGACCTTTTCTGCTCAGCTTTGGCTATGCATGCATCTACAGTGGGGGGGAGAACATCAGACCCAGGGGCCAAATGTGGCCCTCCAGGGGCTCTTCCAAACCCCATGAATCACCCCAAGCCATGCCCCCTTCCCAGGCCACACTCTCAACAGCCCTGCTCTGTGCTCGAGTGCTTTTCTCTGACTCAAATATGTCCTTGAACTGCACCATCGCCTCTTGCTTGCCTGAATGACAGAGAGAAGTGTTTGTGTAGTCATGTATGGAATTCTCTGACTTTTTGCATGGCTTGAATACAGCCTGCTGAACCAAGTTAAAGGTACCCCTGCCCGTACGGGCCAGTCTTGCCAGACTCTAGGGTTGTGCGCTCATCTCACTCTAGAGGCCGGGAGCCAGCGCTGTCCGCAGACACTTCCGGGTCACGTGGCCAGCGTGACAAGCTGCATCTGGCGAGCCAGCGCAGCACACGGAACGCCGTTTACCTTCCCGCTGGTAAGCGGTCCCTATTTATCTACTTGCACCCGGGGGTGCTTTCGAACTGCTAGGTTGGCAGGCGCTGGGACCAAACGACGGGAGCGCACCCCGCCGCGGGGATTCGAACCGCCGACCATGCGATCAGCAAGTCCTAGGCGCTGAAGTTTTACCCACAGCGCCACCCGCGTCCCGAACCAAGTTAGGAGCCACTTTTATTAATCCACTCATTTTTGCCCCTGGCCCCACCCACTTATTGGCATGTGTGCCCCCCTCCCCCAAAGTTGCCTACGAGGGGATATGGCTCTTGAGCAAGAAAACACTGCACACTCCTTGTGTACAGTTTGATTGATTTTAGTGAATCAACAAATTTTTTTAATTGATTTTTGATTGCCGAAGCATGTGGCAATTAACCCACTGCAAGTCTACTCCGGAATTTGCCACTGTGCTTTAGGTGTCATGATTTAGCTGGGCTGCTGTTTCCATGTTGTAGGGGTGCATACAGGGAACACAGACCAGCCAATGTCTGCAGGGGCATGGCTTATCTTCCTTCCAAAGGGGAGCAGCACGTTTGGTCAAAGAAGAGCCCAAATCTTAAGGGGGGGGCATGAAAAACTTTTCCATAAATATAATCAACAGATAAGAAGCCGAGGTATTAAATGTTTAACAAGCAAGCTTTGGTTCTGTTTTACGTCCTCTGTGAGCTTTTATAGTCATAAAATATTTAAATCTTAGCAAGACCAAACATTTTAAGAGATGCGTTGACAATAATAGACAGAGAGGAGGACTTGGACAAAGTTAGGGCCAATATCTGATTTTATGCTCAAGCAGCAGGATCAATGAGCTGATGTAAAGTCCACTGGACTAGTTAGAACAAATGAATTTGTAAATGCCGGAGTGATTAATTAACAGGGATGGGGAGCCTCTGGTCTTCCAGATGCTGTTAGATTCCAACACTTGACCAGTCAACATGGTCAATAGTCAGGAGATATAGGAGCTGTAGCCCAGTAATAACTTGGAGGACTACAAGTTTCCCATCCCTTGCTTGATGCGCAACAAGAACCCTAGAAGTACCCTAAAGGATCAGAATAAAGGACCTTTGTTTCCAAAAGAGGCTGACTAGATGCCTCTGGTAAATTTGTATGTAGGCAAGAGGCCAGTAGCTAGATGGGAAGGGGTAACTATTGCTAGACTCCAACTCCCATCAGACCCAGCCAATTTGCCCTCAGGGATGATGGGAACAACAGCTGGAAGGCCAAAGGTTTCCCACCCCGGAACAAGATGTCTCTGTTTGTAGCCAACTTCTAACATACAACCTCTAACATTATGGATGTTTCTAAACAACAAATAAGTTGACAGATCTTTCTTTTATGAACTTCTCTGATCCTTTATAAAACACATTATCTTGAGCGCCTTCAATGAAAAGGTGGATTTAAATTTAATATATGCATAAAATCCAGTGGCAGTGAATTCTCTGGATAGAGAAGTACTTTGTTTTGCCTGTCCTGAATCTGCTGCCAAATTAAATTAATCAGAGAAAAGTTGACTTCTAGTATTATTATGAAAAGGGGATAACAATTAATAGGGGTAGATGGACTAAATGTCTGGCATATGTTTGGATGACTTACTGAGGCATCTGTTGCTGGCAAAGGAGCTGAGGACTTGCTCACAATCCTCCTTCTGATTGCCACTGTCCTTGCAGGAGCACCACAGTGTGACTTCAGTACTGGAATTGCTGGCATAATTGGGGGTCATAGGTGTACCTATTTCAAGACCGAAAAAAACAAAGAGTCAGAATTTTCCCATATGGAATACCAATGAGTCAAAAGATACAGACCCACCAGTCTAGACATGCTTTCCATAACCCCAGAATGTGCTATCTCAATCTGCTCAATTCAACATCCTGCCAATCTCAAACTCTTTCTAAGGATTTCTGATGTGAAGTCGCTCTGTGCTCCAGATTGGCGGGAGGGAAAGGTATAAAAATGTATCTAATTTTAAAAATTGTAATTAACTAAAGCATAACCACACTGTTGCTGTGGTCAGCCAAATGCTTCATAGGAAGGGCATGAAGGGGATAGTGATCCTGCTTCTGGCATCAGTATATCAAAATCAGAGGTGTAGTGCTTCTAGACATGGACACTCCATTTCGTTACCATGGCTAATAACCACCTAACATAAGAAACTGATGGTTAATGTTCCTCCTCCAACTTCAGAGTGAACGTGAAAGTGGAATAGTATTCAGCTATAAGGGGAAGGAAGATGGACCAAGTCTTCAGAAGAGGGAGTTTCCTACAGCTCAGAGAAGCTTACGCTCCTTTCTCACTCTCTGTTCCATAGACCGGGAAGGCAGGACCTTACATTGCACACACCCCCCCCCAGGTATGTCTAATGGTATAACCCTCATCAAGCTCCCAGTGAATTCCTCTGGACCCAGCACATACCAACCATCCCCATGTAAGCCTCCAGGCATGCAGCATGGTTGTGCGGAGAGCAGCCATCTGAAGATGTGCCTGAAGGCTTGCATTGCTCTTGGAAGTCTGCCAGCCGGGATCTGGTGGAAGATAACAACTATCAGAACGAGGGCTTTCTTTACCACCACAGAGATTGCTTTATTCATTTGTCCTGTAGTTTATAAACCAAAGTCACTTTTTATGCAAAGCCAAGCAACATCATAGATCTTCATCTTAAAAGTAATACAGTGGTACCTCAGGTTACAGACGCTTCAGGTTACAGACTCCGCTAACCCAGAAATAGTGCTTCAGGTTAAGAACTTTGCTTCAGGATGAGAACAGAAATCGTGCTCTGGCGGCGTGGCGGCAGCGGGAGGCCCCATTAGCTAAAGTGGTGCTTCAGGTTAAGAAAAGTTTCAGGTTAAGTACAGACCTCCAGAACGTATTAAGTTCTTAACCTGAGGTACCACTGTAGCTACATTAGGAATGGGCCACTGATGGCTCATGGCTTACATGGCCCCTGAAGCAGTGTTTTCTGGCAACTGGCGGCTTAACCAAAAATACTTTATAGAACAGACATGTTAGTCCTACATCTCTCACATGTTTAATGTAATATACAAACGTACAAGGGGACCGGGTGGCGCTGTGGTCTAAACTACTGAGCCTCTTGAGTTTGCTGATTGGAAGGTCAGTGGTTCAAATCCACGCAATGGGGTGAGCTCCTGTTGCTGTGTCCCAACTTCTGCCAACCTAGCAATTCAAAAGCCCACCACTGTAAGTAGATAAATAGGTACCGCTGTGGCAGGAAGGTAAATGGTTTAGTCATGCTGGCCACATGACCTGGAAAGCTGTCTGTGGACAAACACTGGCTCCCTCGGCCTGAAGCGAGATGAGCGCCACACTCCATAGTTGCCTTTGACTGGACTTAACTGTCCAGGGATCCTTTACCTTTTATAAACATACATATTGAGCATATGCTCTCCTTAAGAGCAAAGTCCTTCTTACTAGATGGTCTCCAATTTTATTATGAAACTGACCACCTCTGGCTCACAGACATCTGTCTGGAGAATAAAGTGGCTCTCAAGTATGTAGAAATTGTCCATCCCTGATTTAGGTGATGCTTTTCCTGATCTGCTGTTTCAAAAACATAAGATTGCATTTTAAAATTAAAATGTGTATAGACTGGGACTATCTAAATTGTTAGGCATTATGGAAACATATAGTTTTATTTCCTTCTTTTACTGTATCAAATGTACAATCCGCCTGAGGATCCAGTTACTTGTGCCTCATACAACTAATAGCTTACTATGGCGGCCACTCCAACGCCCTTGGTGCCAGACCTACTTGCAGATATTGTCCTTCAGACAGGAGTCCAACAGGATGAGGCAGTTTGGCTTGCTGCTGCTGCTGCTCTGGAAAGAGCACTCCGGGACAATGGTATTCCAGCGCCGCTCACCACAGACCTCGTCTTGACAAGGGCAGAAGAGAAGGCTCTTGGTGAAATCCGCGCTGATCCTCTCAAAGAAGTGTCTCAGGTGTCGGTGGCATCTGCGCCGATCACAGGTGGTCTCTGTGCTGCAGGTCTGGGCATAGAGTGAGCGCAGACGCATGCACTTGTGGTTCAAGTGGCAAACGTTTGTGGCATGCAGGCAGGGATTTGTCCTATCCATAGCTATATGGGAGCCAACAAAAGTCACAGAAAGACAAGAATATGTAGTGGGTTCCAGAGATTATTTCCATGAAGATGTGGATTAAACACGAAGAAAATGTAGTCAAAGCAATTTCCAATATCACTTTGCAATTCAGAAATTCATTTATTTACACCTGCTTCCTTTTCCTTCATAGTTTGCCCTGTGTGAAGCTTTAGATTGTAGACTCCTTGGAGTAGGCACTTGTCCTTCTGTGCTCTGAAAAGCACCATGCACACTGGTGTTGCTGCCCTGGGTAATCTACCCAGATACTCTGTGCAGCATCAGAGTAGACTTGAAGGCTGGGGGAAGCAATCACATGGATGGGTTCTACCCTTATGCAGAACCTCATTTGGGAAGATTTTATACTAGGCCAGAGTTTTGGTGGGTGGCGCACTCCTATTCTCTGTGTACACACATCAAAAGGTGTGATACCTTCTACATACCCAGTGAGTTTTCTTTTGGCTGCTACTGCTGTTACCTCTCAGAAGATTCCTCTCAGACTAAAACTTTTTTTCTGTGGAAAATTTACCTCACAGGACTACTTTATCTTTGAGAGTCTTATACTTTCTGCTTTCTGTTACATTATAATAACAGTTGTTTCTGCCTTTCAGATTTGAGTTTGTGTTTTATTTTTGGTCTATGCTGATATCCCTCACCTCTAGACCATATGTTTACCCTGGCATCCTAGCATTAGTCTGCTTGACGCTACCTTTAAATTGCTTATAAAACATTTCCTTTCTCCCTAAAAAAACTCAGCTGTAGTATGTAGGTCCTGAGGAAAAGAAAAGACAACCAAATTTTAGTATAGGTTCTACCTGAAATCCTAGTTGACAGTTTGTTGTAATTGGTCTTTGAAGAGTCTTCATTGTCTGCATCTTCATAGGGTGACACCTCTAAATGAAAGTCATCTGTGCAAAATAAATTTATTTACTTAGGAGTCACACTATAAGTTATGTGTGTAATGAATAAAACAGAAAATCACAAAATATGAACTCTTAAAAAAAGGTAACCAAGGCAGCAGAATGCAACTCTAAACATATCCATTTACATAAAAGCACAAGAGCAATACAAAGCTAAAACACATGTCAATCTAGCACAGATTAAAATTCTTTCAGAGCTAAATTAAAAACAATGATACAGCATTAAAAAATAATTTCATAAAAAACTGGGTGAATTGAAAACTATTTGCCTGGTACCAACATTTATTAATGTAAGTGCAAGGAAAACTTTGGAAAACCAATAAAAATAATTGGCAAAAAAGGGAAAATGCCCCAAGGGACAGCATGCACTGTTCAGGGAAGTTTTAAATGTTTGAAGTTTTATTCTGTTTTTAATGTTCTGTTGAAAGCCATCCAGACTGGCTGGGGAAACCCAACCAGATGGGCAGGGTAGAAATAATAAATTGTTGTTGTTGATGATGTTGTTATGCCATAAAGGAGAGGCCACAACAGAGAAGGCCCTCCATCTTCAGCGTGGGAGAGCACTTGCAGGCAGCTGCATGTGGAAAATAAGTCTATCTACATGTTCCCAGTTGGCTCCTTAATGCGGGGGCCGGGGCACATAAAACTAAGCAGGAAATGCTTAAGATTTTAATTAACAGAAAGAGAAGAGCCACACCTTAATATCCTGCTCAGTCTAAAAAACAATTATGAGGGATCTTTTTTGATTTTGACATCTATTTTAGAATATTGTCAATGTAAACATTCAAATATATATGTTTTTATTCTTTTTGTAAACCATCGTGGAAAATAAAATTTCAAGGTAGCAAAAATTAAGCAATGGGTTTCTAATAGCTTTCTATTCTTTGGGAGGAGCCATAGCAGAAGATCCAAAAATCAACCCCCAGCATCTCTGGTTAAAAAGAATTTCAAGAAACAAGGCTAGATGTAGGAAGACTGAGACCCTGGGGAGACGCTTTCTAGTCAGCCAGACAATTGCTAGTCTTGACTTGGTGCAAATATTTTTGTTTTGTTTTTGCAATCAGGTCCAAGGGTCTTCTCCCAGATATTCAGGTATTGCTCTGGAGTGGGGCACACAATTCTTATCCTCCCGCCACCAGTGATAATACAAAATGAAAAGTGAGCAAAGCTTCTATCTCACCAAAATGAACAGTCCAGTAGATGCGCAGGCACAGCTGCTCCAACTTTCGTGTGCGCCGGTGACACTTGCATTCCTGAAAATAACTGTTTCTTACAAATGTTCCTGCCGCGAAGCATCTGTTCCTGGTTTCTTGGTCAGGGAGGGAACTGCTCTTGGAAAAAGACTGGGAACAGTTTTGCAAGGTCTGATAAGCGGCGCTGCAGGCAGGCTCAGCCAAGCAAAGGGTCTCTGCTGTTATACAGGTGTGCGGCTGATCAAGAGAGAGAACAAGGAGACCTCCTGTTCAAGTAGAGAGAGTGTGTGTTAGCATTTCATAAATTCACATACTGCAGCCACTTTCTCATCCCTTCAAGGGCACAAGCATAAGCTCCTGCTTTTTGCTGAATTAAGCAATCTGGAATGTTTATACTGCCACAATCACTAATGTGGATTAGCACACATGTATGCTTTGCCTATCCTGTTGTTCATATTATCAAAGTGGGGGGGGGAGATGTGTGGGATTCAAGTAACAAGTCCTACTGGAGGAAGCAAAGACAAGGACTCCAGCTAGTGCAACAGGACTTCCCTCACTGTCCCCCCCATTGGCTTTTTTTGGGGGGGGGGTGTGAGTTCAGTCAGAGCTGTAACTACAGGGTGGGGGGTAGTCTTTCTCTTGCCCTATGTTAAGCCTCCAGAGGACTCCCACTGAGGCTGTGTGTGTGTGTGTGTGTGTGTAAATGTAGGGGTGGGGGTGTGCCAAACTGGGTCTTTGACCCGGGTGAAATAAAGCCTAGTTTCGTCCCCGATTTGGAAGAAGTCTCAAAACAGTGTAAAGCGGGAAGAGAAAGGGTGCTGTTCCATCTGGCAAGCTGAAAAGCTTGTTCTGACAAAACAAACGCCATAGTGCTACACTTAATTCCTCCCATTGCTATAGTATGGTTTTTATTTTGATATTCCAATGGATGTGTATGAGAGTTCTTTTTACAAATCTACATTTATCTACCTCTTGCTGTTGGCAATTGATAATTGCTAGCATGTAAAGATCACCACTCCTTGCATTAAATGCTTTTTAGAAGAAAGGAAGATCTCCACACTTTAATCTATTCTTCTGACATAAAATCAAGAGTTTCTAAAGCCTTTTTTTTTTAAAAAGCAGCAGTGTCCAGTTGGGCAGGATTATACTTTGGTGTTGAATTTTGGTGGAAATCTACATTTTGGTGAAATAGATGGGCCCAGTCTTTGACAGCAGTGCTGTTTGAACCTCCAGTCCACTTCAGCAATTTGGCACCAGCTCCAGACTCACGTCCTGATACTTACATAAGCGACAGAAATGACAGCTACAGACAGACTTCCTGGTATCACGTTTGGCATCTTACTATAACCACTAATAAATAGACTCATTTCAGGTCCAACCAGTTACTGCAGTGGTTTCTATATTTGAATGTGAGCCAAATGGAGAACAGCGCGGACTGAACCATGCTTGAAGGGCAGATGTTCTTGTCCTTGAAAAATGACAGTTGCAGAAATGAAACGCTCCTCAAATTTCTATCACATACAGCAGGGGTGGGGGGACTCAGGCCCAGGGTCCAAATGTGGCCCACTAGATCTATCTGGCCCTAGGGGCTCCCTTGAGGTCTGAACTCCTCTAGCTTGGCCTTATCCCTCACCAGCCTTGCTCGGTGCTCTCCTCAAGTGCTTTTGTCTGTCTGGAATGTGTCCTTGGATTGTGATAAAGCTTCTTCCTTGCCTGGATGGAAAATGGAAAGATACGTGCGCATGAGGGCCTTTAGAAATCTCTGGCATGTGTGTGGCTGGGAATGGAGCTTTCGGCAGAAAAATAAGAGCCCCATCCACTTTTGTCTCCGGCTTTTCCCACCCCTCTCAGGTGTGTCATGAGGGAATGTGGCCCTCAAACTGAAAAGGTTCCCCACCCCAACATAGAAATATGGCCCCATTCTAAAACACTCATATTCCTGTCCACCATCTCTCATTTCCCTCAGTGTGCTTTTGATTTACATTCAGTGTTTCTCTTCGCATATTGATTTTCAATTTTTATTATGGCTTGGTTAACATCTATTGAATCCCAAGCATTCTTACTATACACTTAACAACAGACTTTAGGAAATTCGGACAGATCACTTCCACAGCATACACTTAAAGCACATGGGCTTCCCACATAGAATTGTGAGAATTGTGACTCTGTGATGGGTAGATAACAGTTTCCAGGATTTTTTAGAGAGCCATGTGCTTTAGATGTATTTTAAATGTATGGCAGGGATTTGACTATAGAGCATCCCACAGAGATATGCAGGGGAAAGGGGGCAACTGTCTTACAAAGTATAGCTGCTGCAACCATCTTTCATGTCTCTCCCACCACCACACCTCGTATGGCAGGAGGAACACAACCATCTGCAGGGATACCACAACCATTCGTGTAGGGAAGGGAGGAAGGGCCAGGCAACTGTCTAATCAGGGCAATCACAGCCCACAATCCAAAGAGCAGCCAGGTGGATGGAAGTGTTGTGCCAGTGATAGGCTTACCCCTGGGTGTGGGGGAGCACTACCAACCACCAACCTTGTCCTACCTGGGCAGGAAGTCCCCTAAACCTTGGGGATGGGAGTACAGTCAACAGGAGTACAGCCCACTACAGAAACAGAAGCTGGCTGCAAATGAGACATGCACCAGGGAGGAGATGCAGAAGTAGAGGAAGGGAAGCGGGGCCAGGATGCATAGCTGACTGCCTAGGGGAAAAAGAGAAATAACAAGCAACAAGGGGTCAGGCAACAGGTCCTCTTTGCCCAGTGTGCCCAACAAGGACTGCAAAGGAGCTTCCAACACCAGCTGCTGGTGCACAACCAGTTTCAGCTATAGCACTCTCTGAAGCTGAAGTGGGACAGTTGTTCTACTGCAGGGTTGGCTCCTCACCTGCCATCTGGTGCCCAAGGCCCACAGCAGCTCTAATGAACCTTTGCAGTCTGGCATTAAGCGTAATGTCTTGGATGTGACAATGCTTGGCCTAGATCCTCTGTCGCTGCCTGGAATTTTAGGGTGCCACTTGCAGAAGCAAGGAGGTAATGCGCGCCAGCACAGATCACTCTTTCTGGATCAATTAAGCCCAGGGGAACAGCTCAAAGGCAGGTAAGCAGATGAACTGGGGCAGGCATGGCCAAACTTAGCCCTCCAGATGTTTTGGGACTACAACTCCCATCATCCCTAGCTAACAGTGGGAATTGTAGTCCCAAAACATTTGGAGGGCCAAGTTTGGTCATGCATGAACTAGGGGTTTAAACCACAAAAAAGAAACTGAGCAGTTTCTCTAGAGAAAATAATAACCTTCACCATTTTTACATGGTGATTAAAATGCTACATGCTGCTAACTACCATACTGTTTACCAATGCCCTGCGAGATGTAAAAGGGAGAAGCAAGGGATATAGGGTCATTAGCTATGATGTTCTGCATAATTTCAATAGAGAAGTAAATGCTGACAGATATAATGCCACCAAATGCTGTTTCAATACACACAGAAAGTCAGTTATATAGCAGATGGGTAGTGCTAAACATCACATTTCTCTACTAAATTACTCTTTATTACTCAATCAAGAATATTATCCATGCTGGCTATATACTACCTCCAGAATCAGATTCCCTCTGAATACCAGCTAAAGGGGAACAACATCAGGAGAGTGCTGTTGTGTTCATGTGCTACTAGCAGAGTTGCCAGAGACAGCTGGCTTGTAGATATGGGAAATGAGATGCTAGACTAGATGTACTTTCAATCTGCTCTATCAGGACTCTTATTGTGTTTCTTACCGCTTGTGATGAATACTGATTCAACATCTCTCAGTACAGGTGGTCAAACATATCTCCCAGGTCATTAAAAGTAGCCAGTGATAATAAGGTAAAGGTAAAGGACCCCTGACAGTTAAGTCCAGTCGCGAACGACTCTGGGGTTGCGGTGCTCATCTCGCTTTACTGGCCAAGGGAGCCGACGTTTGTCCACAGACAGTTTCCCAGGTCATGTGGCCAGGATGACTAAGCAACTTCTGGTGAAACCAGAGCAGCGCATGGAAACGCCGTTTACCTTCCCGCTGGAGCAGTACTTTTTTTCTACTTGCACTATAGGAGCCTGCATTCGCTCCATAGGACGCACACACATTTCCCCTTCATTTTTGGAGTGGAAAAAGTGTGTCCTATAGAGCGAAAAATACGGTATTTATCTACTTGCACTTTGACGTATTTTTGAACTGCTAGGTTGGCAGGAGCTCGGACTGAGCAACGGGAATCTCCGTCGTGGGGATTCGAACCGCCAACCTTCCAATCGGCAAGCCCTAGGCTCAGTGCTTTAGACCACAGTGCCACCCGCATCCAGCCAGTGGTACAGCCAGTGGTATATCTATCTAAAATTAATATAATCGTCATTGTGTTATGTTTCTAGATTAAAGTTTGTGAACCAATTCTGTGGGGGATCCAAGGAAGGAAATTTGGTTTCCCTGCAAGTGAACAATGCATGTGGTTCCATAAAGGCTGACCCTACTCCTGTTTACCAAGCAGTATATTTTCATTTACTTGTTAAATTTCTTTATTGCCCTTCATCTGAGGATCAAAGGGTGGTTTACAATATAAAAAACAAAAATGCATAACATAGTAAAACAAAAATAATAAACACCCATAAACACACACAGTTTAAAAGGCCATAGGTTGTTTAATAAGCCAAAGGCCTGAGAGAAAAGGAATGTTTTTGCCTGGCATCTAAAGATATGCAAGAAAGCACCAGGTGAGCCTCCCTGGAGAGAGCATCTCACAAGCAGGGAGCCACCACAGAAAGGGCTCATTGTATCCTTTCTGCTGAGTAAATGTGCATAGGATTGTAGCCTTCAAACTCTATATTGCCTTATCCCAAAGGTAAGAGTTCAATTCTACCACGCAAACTAAAGATGAATACAAGTTTCAAAAATAAAAGAAGTCTTCATATTAGTTTAGTCTGGAATGAGTCACTTGTGAATTATGTTAATACAGGGTAGAAAGCAGAATAGTGTTTTCATGTTTGACAAAGCATTTTGACTCACTCCCATGCAATCTGTGCATGTGTTAATGTTGTTAATGCAGGAAAGTGAGCAGATTAGAGCTATTCTAACAAAAGTATGTTTTATATTTTCAGATCACAGATACAGTAAACACAACAGCCCTTTCTGTGATATTTTCATTCATGATACAAAAAACCCCACCCCATTACCAGTATTTCCCTAGTTTATAATGTCCTGTTCCAGGTGACGCAAGGACAGAGCAGCTGACAGTTAACCATGGACAGTACTGGACTCAGTTTGGTATTAGTTGCATGTTCAAACCCAGGGGCAGGTTAAGAAGCAAGGTCAAAGGCAATCTGAAGTCAAAATGTGAGATGTGGGGGAGGTCTTGAATTGAACAGCTAGGTAGACAGGGATGCGGTCATCAGGGCAATGGAGCAAATTTACGGCTACAGCACTTTGTGCCATGAACTGAATGATTTTTAGTCTGAGCACAGCAGCAGGGCATCTGGGTTGCCTGAGGATTTGGTCTACTCATGAATAGCTTTTTTCACACAAGTATCACTTTACTCTGGTGTAGTGCTTGTTCCTCAGGCTTGCACTCCAGTGCCTAACTAAGCCTGCACCTTCAGGTGGCTGTGCTTCCTAGGGCTCAGTAGCTGTCCAACATCCCCCGGCGCCTTGCTGCCCCATGGCATGAGCTGCTTTGGAGAGCTCTAGGTCATCCTTGGAAGATTTCACCCGCAGCAGCATGACAGATAATGCCATGCTAAAATTCACATCAGATGGAATGTGCATTTCATTTTAAAATGGTCCTCTTCATCTTTCCTTCCTGCATTAGCAACCCAAGAGCTGTCCATGTTTGATTAGACCTTTCTATGTTATATTAGACCAAGGATCCACCTAACAGTACTCTGTATCAAACAAATCTGTCTGGGAAGCTCACAGAGCTAGACGGAGATAGCTGTCCCCTGATGTTGCCCCTGACAAGTGTGAAACGCAATTTAAAAACCAATATAGCCAGTGTATGATATGCAAATTAAATGCAGACCATACATATGCATATATTTAAAATATATATAAACGTCATGTGAAAAACCCTTCTGATCGTATTCCACAATCGGAACATACACAGATCTAATTTCGGGCCAATTTATAAGAACACGACCCCATCGAGCAGGCGAGTTGCACATTGCAAACTGCTCCTACAGCGCGCGGCGGAGCGGCTCTAATTCTCTGGCTGAGGAAAGGGTCACAGCCCTTCTCTGGCCGGCAAACAGCTTGGCAGCCACTTGCCGAAAGTTTCTTCGACAGAGAAAACAGCCTGGCACTCGAAATGGAAATCTGCGATCAAATCTTTATTCCCGCAAATCAGCTACCCCGTAAGCAACAGGCACTTTCTCCCCTCCGTTAGCAAACGGCGGAATAGGGACTGCGCTGTTCCTCCGTAGCCTATTCTATGGCCGTACATCCCTCTTTCCTTTCTCTCCCAGCACCCATCAATAACGCCATCGGGGATCTGCCTGGCCTGAACACACCCAAAGTGATTAGCAAACAGGGTGGTCAGACAGTCCTCCCCGTCGCCGCCTGCAAATCCGAGACGCCGAGCGCGCGCTGGATCAGAAACCTGAACAACTGTCCAGACACCGCCCCGCCGAGAGACACGCGCAGCCCGATCCTGAGCGGGCTTACATGGAAGCAAAGTCCGCTCAGGGGGCTCGCCTCCCAGCAACACAGGCATAGGATTCCAGACCCTCTTTGCCTTGGGACAGGAAAACACACACACACACACACAGAGAGAGAGAGAGAGAGAGAGAGAGAGAGAGAGAGAGGATGGTCCTATTAGAAACAGCGGGCGCAAAACAAAAGCTAAAAGGCGCGGAAGAACACACAACTTCTCCCTTGGCCCGCCCCAGAGTGCCCGATTCTCTATGCCCGCAACCCCAGAGCCAGTCCCGCACGACGGCGAAGGGCGCCAAGCAACCCCCCATGAAGGGAGGTGGGGTAGGGTGGAGTAGGGTAGAAAACATACAGCAGATCCAACACCGCCTTTTCCCCGCACCGGACCCCTTTCTCAACGGCGCCCGCCCCCCACGACGCCCCATTACCGGTTCGGGAGAGCAGCAGCAGCCCCAGCAGCAAAGGGAGGCCCATGGCGGAGGGAAGCGCAGCACGCGCGGTCACTCCACTCCGAGCCGGTCTTGCGAAGGAAGGGCTCACATGCTCCGCTAGTTCAGCGGGGACTGGGCAGCCTCGCGTGGCCACCTGCTGCCAGCCTGCCCTCGTCGTCCCGCCTTCGCGGGGACTCGCCTTCTCAGCTCGCGCTGGGCAGGTGCGCGCGCGGCGCTACAGCGGGAGGCGGGAACTCGCCGCCGGCGCGCGAGGGGAGGGGAGGGGCGCAGGAGTAGCGCCCGGGCGGAGAGCGGCGGGAATGGCCCGCCTCGCGCTAGGGCGCTTGCTCTCTCTGGGTGGGGTAGCGGTATGGATTGGGAATAGGGGACGGGGTCAGCCCCGTCGCGGCCTTGGGGTTTGGTTTTTGGCGCTGGGAGGTCGCTTCCCCTCACACAAGGAGGCGGAGCGGCCCCTGTTGCCTTTGAATTTTGTGAGCTGTGGAACCTCGTCCGGAAAAGCAGGGAGGACGGGTCTATTTTTTTTTATTATTGCCAGGACCGAAAACGCCGCCCGGGAAAACGGGCGTGTCGCCTTCGCTTTTGTCGCCGCTCAGGCGTTCTTCTGGCGCGCGCACATTTCCTCGCGCCGTGTTGCTCTCGCGCTCGTGAGGGGTGCAAACAAATAAACGAGCTCAAAACCAACACTGTTTGAACTGTTTGCAAATATTGCTCATGCGGCACGCCATTTTAAAACATAAAGGAAGCATATAAATTTCACCCAGTCTTCCGTCAACACTTCAGTTAAATCTGAGTGGAGGGAGGGAGCAGATTTAGCACACAGCGTTATTGGTCCATCTAGACCAGTGTGGCTGCAGCTCTCCGGGTTTTCAGACAGGGGTCTTGGCCAGTCTTGCCTCTGCTGGAGGTGACAGTGATTTTTGCATGTTAAACTTGCTCTGGACCAGTACTACTGCTTAAGGCCCCGCCTGAAGCTGGAGAGTTGCAGCTATCTCTCGGACATTGATCTGTCTTTGTGCAGGAGAAGAAGAAACTTAACCAAATGCAGCAGCAAAACGTAAATAAATTATTGGGTTACACAATTGTTGGATACATTCTGATTTGGGAACTTTTTTTTCCGCCTTACAACAGGGATCAATCTGGGGGACACTGTCCTTTACTTGAATTCCCAAAACGTTTGGGCATCCTTGAGAGGCTGGTGTAGGGAATCAAATGATTTTCACTATCAACAGTATTCCACACCAATTTTCTATATGCACTAGTATTCTGAAGTCAAGTATGAGCAGTGAGATAGCTAGGCTTAACAATGAAATCCTGTTTATCATGGAGAAATACCAGGTATCTCCAAAAGAATCTCCCAGAACTGAAGGATTGCACAACAGAAAGGAATATGAGGGCATGGGAAGTCCATACACAATTCTACTGCAACAATACTACAATAAACTTGATATTTCAACTGATCCATTATTCTAATTCACAAATATAATTTCAGCTCAGACTTATATTTTAGGTCCTTCATGGCTCAGGCTCCTCAGAAGTGACCTTATATCTAAAGCATTTTTATATACTTTCATTGAAAACCAGTTTTGAGTTTCCATTTTCAGCATCCTGCAGGTGTTATTTCATACAATATCTGAACAGAAACTTTAAATACTGTGTGGGACATTGCCTCCCGTCCTTTAACAAAGGCTTGTCCCCCAAGTATGTCACCAAAGTCAGTCCCTTAAGACATCTGCTGCCACCAACCCACTGAATAGTAGGTCTCTCCCTTTATATTTTATGGGACGCTGGTGGCTCTGTGGGTTAAACTACAGAGCCTAAGGCTTGCCGTTCAGAAGGTTGGCAGTTTGAATCCCTGTGACGGAGTGAGCTCCCGTTGCTCAGTAGAACATGGACAGCATGGCTCTGCCATTCACCTACCTAGGAGAGCAATTGGAGAGGTAAACTTAAGACTGTAATTCCACATAGCTGAGTATAATGGTATGGGGTTGCTCGTGCGTAAGTTGCCGCCTCTCTCCCTGCTATGTTGCCTTGTTAAACCTTTCTGTCTGGACAGCCCTTCAATTCGTGGCTGCCTCAGTCGCTAGCAGAATCCGTCAGTGGGCGTTTCTTAAATCTTTTCCAACATAAAAGTTGCTTGACACCCAGTCTCCTCCTACTCTCTTTGCGCGGAAGTCTTCTGCGCAGGGTGGGCGTGGGTAGCGGAGGACCCGTGCTCTCCCCGCTGGTGTCCGGTGAAGAGTCTTGGAGCCCTCTCGCTGATTCCCCCATCAGCCCCTCTCTTTCCCTGGCGTTGCGCTGATTAGCTTCCCCCTCTGCGGAGCTGCCTCTCTCCCTGCTGGGCCCTTCTCCAGCATCATTTGAGAGCCTTCCCTCCGCCTCGCGCTCCGATGTCAGTTCCCTGACACTGAGGGAACATTGCATTGAATTTAGTAGGACTTGCTTGTAAACATGCTTTGTATCATCTGCTGTAGACTGGGTCAACGTCTTCATGAACCTGTCCACTATGGTTCCCAAGGTCTCACACTTTCTTCTAAATCTGGAGGTTCCCTATGCCAGAGCTTTTCAACCTTTTTGAGTCCATGGCTCCCTTGATCAATTACGTACGTTCTTCCTGCAGCACCCCTGTGGGGCTCAGGAGCCCAGTTATGTCACCAATTGCCTACAGAGCTGCAGCCTCTTACCCTTTTTCGAACACCCTCCCTTCTGGAGCATTCCCTCAGCCTCCTCTCATTTTCCCTCTCCTTGGGAGTCCTCAGGGCAGCAGTCTGTCTCAGCTCCTGGCAGTCAGCACCCCCTGGCCAGCCACAGAGGCACCATTAGCCTGGGGAGCTTGTAGCCAGGGATACTGCAACAAACAGCCGCAAAAGGCTTTGGGAGGCAGAGACAGGAGAGGACATCAGAGAAGGGAGGGAAGGAAAGAGGGACAGAGGCCTGTGTTGCCTGCAGCACCCCTGAACATCGTTCAATGCACTCCAGAGTGGCACAGCACACTGGTTGAAAACCCCTGCCCTATGCAATTGATGTAGATTTGGATTTTCAGGGTACAGGGAATCTGGATTCAGGGAGGAGAAAGAGTGGGACAGCAGTAGTTGGGAGGAGGACACTGCAAGGATGAGGGAGAATTAAAGGAAACACAACTGGGTTCACAATCCACATTAAGCCAAGGTATGGTCAAAACAGATCAGTAACTGCTTGTTTTGTACTATTATTGTTCATCATCTTGTTTGTATTATTGTGCATTGCCCTTTTCATCTTTTTGCTCACTGGAGTACATTAATGGTATATTTGTGGGTCTTATTGCTCTTTGTCTTTGATACATAGAGACCCTTATTGCTTAGTGTACTGTCTGAATTGGCACTGGTTGTACTAATACTTTCTCGTTTTAAGATCAGACTGATCAGATCAGAAATACCACACAAAAACCATTTCTGTTTGTAGCAACTGTTTGCCCACCATTTCAACCTCTGTCCCTATCATGTTGAGCTTACAGGCCTCCGTTTCCTTCCGATGGCAGTGTAGTTTTAAAGGTTCTTATGTTTATGCATTGCCATCTTCCGTGGAGCACAGGTTTACCTCCCCAAACACTTATTTGTGTCAGGAGATTCAGCCAGATTCTGATCAGGAGGAGTTCAGCCTTCAGCCTTATCAAAGTGATCCCTGCCTCTAAATCTGAAATGTGTTAGAACTGGATAGGCTGCAGATCCTTGTAAGGAAAAGGCTATTTTAAATAAGCTGGCAGGCACCTTTCTTTGTTTTAACTTTACATTTTCTAGAATTCAGCCCTGCTGTTGAGAACAGATCCTGGGGCTCAGCCCTGGCACAAATGAAACCCTGGAGGAACGTGTGTTAACTTGGCTCCTGTTGCAGCCAAATAAAACTAAGTGTTCTTTAGCAACTTCTAGGTTTCACAAGTCTTATGAAGTGACATAACAGCTGCTGAAAGAAATTTGGAGCTCTTGTCAGCTTCTCTTTCCTTGTTCCTAATCTATTTATTATTATTATTATTACTGCTCAATATTTATATCTTGGCAACTCAAATAATTAAACAACACTTTGAGAAGAAATAGCTTTAGACAGGGCATGTGCAGTTTCCTAACCATGCTTCACGTGTTTCTTTGTCTACAGTGGGCTGTCAAGAACAGAAACTTCTCATATTTTCTAACCGGCATGTGGCCAGCAGCTTGTGAAAAAATTGATTCATCACCTGGCATGAGGCCTTTCTTGGATTAGCAGAAAGCACCTCTGAAGAAATTTCAGGAACTGAATTTGGGTAACTTCCCAGTATATACTTCTCATGACTTCTGAAACATGCACTACAGTGTCAGAGTGAGAGAGAGAAAACATACTACCTAAAGCAGAGGAGAAGCTTCATCATTTGTTAAGGTTTGTAAGAACACACTTTGAAAATCCATCAAATAGGAAAACTTGCATATGACTGCAAGGGTGTTTGTTTCTTCACAGAAGGCCAAGCTTTGCATGCAGTTCTTTTATAATATTGGAATGCTTCAAGATGCAAAGCTTCTTGCCCATAAGGCCTTTGTTTTCCCATTGTTTGTTGGCTGTGGAACTGCAATGGGCTATCCAGACAATTGTTAACTTTTCATTCTTTATAAGTTTGGTCATGCTGTTTCACTAGTGGGTGAAGCATGTTTTTGGAAAGAAAAGAGTTCATTCCCTGTCATTGGTTCCCTCATAATTCCCACCACTTCCCTCGACCCTCCCACATAGCTATTTGTGTTTGCTTAGCATTCACACACATGCTTAATACACACCCTCCTCTTCCTTCTTCATCATAAAGCATTTTCCAACCAGTATTTCAAAACCTTTAAATTCTGATTAGCCACAGCCTTTCTTCCTCTCCCCTTTTCTGTTTCCTTTTCTAATCACTTTGGCTCTAGCAAGTGGTATAAATGAGGCTTTCTCTAACTTTGCACATGTACAAAAAAGGAGCAAGGTATGGGAAGGATACCTACTGGAGAACTGAGGAGGTAGAAGGTTCATAACATAGAACCTCAATTTGCTAGACTTCACTGTAGTATGCGGGAAGTGCTGCTCTCTCCACATGAAGCTCCCTTTTTCAATTTTAAAATTGAGACACATCAGAATTCTGCAAGCCCCATTCCCACCGCCTGCCTTTTTATAAATATTTCAGTTTCCTGTGAAAAATAGTAAGTTTTCTGTTGACATATACACACTGCAATTTGCATTACACAATGGAAAACGTGGCCTGCTATCGTGTTTCATAAAGTGATGAATGTAAAATGTAAGTGGCAGATACTTCCTTATATTAAAGGTCAGGAATATTTACTATGGTGGGACCACTTGTCCACATTCACTTTTTGGGATTCTTGAGCAAAGAGCTCCTCAAAACCATTATTTGTAAAAGTAAAAAATGCCTGGAGCAAAACAGAATGGCTCTGGTATCAGGTGAGATGCAGCTAAAAGAGAAGAGGTGCAGTCGGTGTTTAGCCTCCCAAAATACCCACATCAAAACCACACCCACCTAAATCTGAGAAGTTAAAGTGTAAAGAAACATCCATATCTAAGGGTTTGTTGGTTTGTTTTTTGTTCCAAATCATTGGTAAAAAAATGGATTTTCCATGTTAGCTGAAAAAGCAGATGACATGAAGAAATAGCACAGAACAACTGCAAAAAAGGACGACTACATCCTGTGCATTCTCCTGTAAAGAAACTATGGGGGAAATGTTTTAAAAGGTCTGTCTAAAAACACAGGAAAAAGGCTTTGGGAAAAGAATATAGAATTTTT